ACATATACATACTAATACTATAACATATACTAAATAAATATATATAATATAACTATAATAATAAATAGACTAACATACATATACATATACACACATACACACACACACGCACACACACACACACGCACACACACACACACACATACATACACGTACACATACACATACACACACATACACAAATACACATAAATAAAATACACATAAATAAAAATACACATACATACATACATGCACATACATATACATATACACATACACACACACACACATGTATATATATATATACATATAGATATAGATATAGATATATTGAAATGGATATAGATATGGATATATAGATACACACACATGTATACATGGATAGATAGATACAAACGCCCACAGCATATATATATATATATGCATACATACATATATATATATGTATACAAATATGTATATATATATAAATATATGCATACATACATATATATATACACACACATATATATATATATATAGGTGTGTGTGTGTATAGCTATGTATCTGATCGTTCCCAGACATTCTTTGGTTCCACTCGTTCTTCACCATTAACATCCTCACGTCTCACCCTCCCTCTTTTCGCACACAACAGCGGCGAAGGAAATCGGCGAACTGCTACGCATGTCACATGTGCTGAAACAGAAAGTGGCGGACAATGACACCTCATTTAAGCCCTTGCATGGTCGCACATTGGGTATGCTGTTCCAAAAACGCAGCACACGCACCCGAGTGAGCTCAGAATCGGGAATGTTCAAATTGGGTGGCCACGCGCTGTTTTTGGGCAAAGACGATATCCAGCTGGGTGTAAATGGTATGTGCAATGGAGTTATTTGTTCCTTTGAATAGGGTTGGAAATATAATTTGTTTCTGGTTTGGTGAAGGATGTGTTTAAGAGTCGGGATAGGATTGTATTGCGTGCGGACACGTCTACAATAGAGTTCTTCGATGGATTGAGAAGGGATTGAGAAGCCAACAACACGCAGAGTACATGTAGTGCTTGTGAATTAACTTACATATTAATGCAGAGTATAAGTAGAAATAATGGATTAATTTACGTATTAATGCAGAGTACAAACAGAAATAATGGATTAATTTACGTATTTATGCAGAGTACAAGTGGTGCTTATGAATTCTTTTACGTATTGATGCAGAGTACATGCAGTGCTTATGAGTTAATGTACGTATTATTACAGAGTACATGTGGTGAATTGTTGTGATAGTATCTATTGCGCTACAGTCCTTCTTCTGTATGCTGAATCCAGCTGACTTACACGCACATACGCACACACACATACATGTGTGTATATGTATATATGTATATAGGTATGTTTCTGTCAATGGTGCGGCCGAAGTGGAGTTTACCAGAAGTACATGGGAGTGTCTGTGGTACACAACATATTGCTAAGCTTGCAGTATAGATTGCGACATGGCGTGCACGGTACCACAGATACCAATAGTCTAAACACGCAGCAACCAAACAGTACTTGCGCATTACTTGTACATGACCATAGCCCATACGTCTATCTACCACTGATGATCTTTAACAGCACTTGCACATTGCTTGTACATGACCATAGCCCAAACGTCTATCTACCACTGATGATCTTTAACAGCACTTGTACATTGCTTGTACATGACCATAGCCCATACGTCTATCTACCACTGATGATCTTTAACAGCACTTGCACATTGCTTGTACATGTCCCTAGCCCATACGTCTATCTACCACTGATGATCGTTCGCAGCACTTTCACATTTCCATAGCCTATGCTTATATCTACCACTGATGATCGTTCGCAGCACTTGCACATTACTTGTACATGTCCATTGCCCATACATCTATCTACCACTGATGTGTACCACAGTGCTTGCGAACATCACACAGCGGTCAGACACTCTAACTAAACGCAGCCGTCTCCCTCACGCGCACCTACTGTGCACACTCGTGTACATTCATCACTTTGTTTGGTTTATACGTCTATGGGGGTTTCTCTCTCGAGATATGTGCTCAAACTAGGTTTATCTTTATACGTCCATCGGGGGGTTTTCTCTCGGGATGTGTGCTCAAACTAGGTTTATCTTTAAATGTCCATCGGGGGGTTTGCTCTCGGGATGTGTGCTGAAACTAGGTTCATCTTTATATGTCTGGGGGGGTTTTCTCCGGGATGTGTGCTCAAACTAGGTTTATCTATATGTGTCCATCTGGGGTTTTCTCTCTCGGGATGTGTGCTCAAACTAGGGTTATCTTTATATGTCTGTGGGGGGTTTTCTCTCGGGATGTGTGATCAAACTAGGTT